GATATTTATCTAATCTGATTTACTTCACTTTCTTGGGAGACTGCTTTGTATTTACTTAGAATGTCAGTGTTCAGATTGATTTTCAGGGATTTATATTTTATGCAAATCATAATCATATTCATACTGGCCATTTTTATTCTAAATATGTGTATACTTGAATTTTCATTTTAGTTATTTTCATGCTTTCAAAGAACCAACTGTTTTATTAATCACCTTTTCCTATGTCATTGACATGCTGGTGTCTTATTAACACTTTATTATATTTTTTCATGTGTTCATTGGATTTTTAACTCCTTGTAATTAATACATAATAAAAGAAATATACTTAATGCATATCCTATGAAAGCATGAAATAATTTTCATGATTATGCTTTCACCATATTTTACAAGTGTTTAAATTTAATAAAATGTCCATAATTACTTTTTTTCACACCAAGATCATTAAATGATCACTTGGTAGTTACAACAGTATTTGTGTCATCTTTATTTGCTATTGGTATAGTATTGCTTTGTAATCTGATACTGCTGAAACAGTGTAATTAATATTATTCAAATTCACTCAATTTTATTGACTTGCAATCAAAATTTCTCAGATTTAATTTGAAGTTTTCCTAATTTTTGAGACTGTATTTTTGCCTAAAATAAAAGAATAAAGACTTCTAGGTCTGAGTCCTACACCAACTTTGTGAATGTTGTTCATGTTTACTATCCTTTGAAATTTGATATTTCCGTAAAACAGAAGTGTCCATCTCCTCTCTCTCTCTCTCTCTCTCTCTCTCTCTCTCTCTCTCTCTCTCTCTCTCTCTCTCTCTCTCTCTCTCTCTTACACACACAGGGAACAAAGAAGTTGTATTAGAAACTTTATCCTAGGCACTGAAATGAGAGAGCCAATGGTCAATGGCCAATCAATCAGAAAGCTTATGATCTAGTTGTTAAACCATTAGTAACTTGAAGTCAGTAGGGTGAAGTGTTGGTAGAACAGAAATTGCCGAATTTTACTGACATCTGACATGACGGCACTTGTCCTACTATTTATATTTAAAGTTTTGGAGGACATGACCACTTTCCTAATGTACTTTTTCCTCTATTTTTTTCAGTATATAATTGGGGCTGTTCTGTTACCTGTGTACACATCATACTTGCTCTGTCTTTGCATGGATCTTATTTTTTACTCCATCACCTGAATTCTGATCTCTGTGATAGAACCAGTTATATACTTTTAGAATATTTCCTTTCTTTCAACTACTTAGAAAAATATTTTGGAATTTATCCCCCCTCTCTCTATTTTCCATAGTAATCTTAATATTTGTTTTTCAAGCAAATTACTGTTGCATTTCACTGAATGTTACTGGCATGTATGGTCTCACTATTGCCACATTTCATGAATAAGTTTTACTGCTCTCTTCCGTGTATGTGTGTGTGTGCTGAAATGTACGCATGTGTACCATATCTGTACAGATGTCCACAGGTACCGATCTCCTGGAACTGGAGCTGTAAGTAGTTGTGAATTACCCAGTTGAGTGTAGAGAACTGAGCTCAAGTCCTCGGCAAAGAGACTCAAGTGCTCTCAACCATGCACCATCTCCCCAACCCCAGCTCTCCTGTTCTCTAAGGCTAGATGTGAGAGAGCTTTGCTTGCCTTCTCTCCAGGATGGACAGGGTAAAGTAGTCTCCATTAGGATGTTGAAGCTCCCTAGTCTTGTGCAGCAGCATCAGGTCTCTCTGACTCTTGCCTGTAAGCAACTTTCCATGAATACAGCTTAGTTTTTATTTACCCTTTTCATCTTCCTTCAGTATGAATGCTTGTGTTTTTCTTTACTTCCTTGAAGTTTCCTATTTTTTTATTAATCTTTTCTGTTCTCTTTTTTGTTTCCTTCTGGAATTCCTTTTAGGTGATACAGTGTTAGCCCTCTGCCATAATTTCCAACTTCCATCCCATGCAGAAGCCTTGGCAGAATTTCTTCTCCCTTCATTAGTGCTTGAATAAAGTCCTTTTAGGATATCTCTGTAGTGAGATGTCCTAATGACTGTTTCTGGACAGTGAGCTAAGTTTTTTTTTATTGTTATGTTTTTCCAAAGAAGTTGTGCAGGATGTCTGTCTCTCGGATTTGGTTTAGCTGGAGTTTTTCAAGAACACTTATGAAAACGGCTTTTTGAAAACATTTCTACTAAATATAAAAAAATAAACCTAGAAAAGTCCACCTAGCATATGCTTCCTGTGTGTGTTCTTTATCTGTTCTAAATGGCAAGTGTTTTGTATTTATTTTATATCAATTTTAAGTTTATTTTTATTTAATGTTTCTTGGATAGGGCTTATAACTTAGTTAGCCTGGACCTTAAGCTTGGTGACCTGAAGTTCAGTCATAATTGCACGGGAAATGTTTATTTTGGGAACAGTTTTGTTACCTGAGCAACTGATCTCATTTTCATCATTCCCAAGTACTTAAGGTATTTCATTAATACATATGTATATGCCTATATATCTTTATTCGAGGTGATATTTTAAAAGCATGAAATATCCTAACTGGTCTTTTAATTTTTTGTTGTTGTTGTTTTATGGTGGACTGTAAGGTTTAGAGACATGTGCCAGTTTATTCCCTGAGTCCGAGCACCTCTAAAGAAAGAGGTGTATTTAACTCACTGTCTGGAGCTGAAACACAAAACCAAGTGACCTCATCTGTTTGGCCTTGGTGACAGTGTCGCTTGGGTTGTATGGCAAAAGTATACACAAGAAGGATAAAGCACATGGTGAAATCATAAGTCAGGCTGGCTTTTTCTTAACAACTTATTCTAATGGGAACTAGGTGGGATCCCTACAGAATTCCACTGGCCCCTTCCAAGGGCAACTTGACAGCAATTACTAAAGAACTGTCAGTATAAGGTGCAAGACATGAAAAGCTATGACTTTCTCAGCTAAATGAGGCTGGAGTAAGGGATCCACAGGGGCCAGGCATTGTCAGCAAAACAAAAATTGTTTATCAAGAGATGGTTGGGGAGTCAGAGGCCCTGGACACTTATTTTGTTAATGTAGCTGAGTTGGGTTGCAGTCAACTCCCATTCATCATCTGCAACTACTCTCAAGCTGTAGTGGATATCGATGTAATTACGGCCAATACTACAAGACTTTGAAAGTAGGAACACTTGTTGCATGGCCCTTAGTCGAAAATGACTCTGATTTGTGTAGTGGCAGCAGCATGCCCACTTATCTCCCTCTTTCATGCTGTTAAGGACATGACTCACCTCTCTGTAAACACGCTGCTCGGTGCGCATGCCTCGCTCAGGTGCTTTCCATAATGTCACACTATTTCAGTCCTCACTCATAGGTAACATCTGATCATTTTTTAAGATATGATCAGAATAACACTTGGCTATGAAGACTTGCAATATAGAAAGAAAACACCCCATGCATATTGTTCGGCAGTCCTTACCACGTTCAAGCTCCCCTAGCCTCTCTGGTCTGTTCTTTCACAACACCCACTTACTCGTTATGCACAGTTTTAAATCAAGTTCTTCGCCTGTTCTAAGTTGTGTGTTACTTGCAGGTTACCATGCCTAGACCATACACAGACATAGCAAGCTCCTGTCACTGGTGAAGTGGAAAGCCGTCGTCCTTGGTAAAAAGACTACAGTCAGAACTCTGTCCCAGATAAATAGCAACGGGGGCAGCGAGGAAAAGATAGTCAAGCATTCCTGAGGTGTAAGTCAGAAAGCAAAGACACAAAGGTCAACGGAGGCTGACCGGGAAGACCTAGCTGCCTCTGGAGTCTTTGCTGCTTATGCTTTCAGGTCAGTTCAGGTGACTTAAGCTTTGGGGGCAATCATCAGCCATAGGCATAAACAAGGCTCAGCCTGTCTGGTGCTTGCACAAGCTTAATATATGAACTCCTGCTGGAAGGGGAAGTCTAATGCCAGAGTCACGTGGAATCCAGGGTGAAGACTGTTCAGAAGCTCGACATTGCCTATACACCTCTAGTATCTTGTTTTATACCCCCAATAATGTTGGGTTATTTCCCTTTTACAGGATGACAAGATGGCTCGGGAGGTAATGGTATTTGCTAACAAGCCTGATGACTTAAAGTTTGATCCCAGGAACCCACGTTGAGAAAGGAAAGAGGGAGCCCCCACAATTTTTCTCTGACTGCCACACATGCACAATGGCACACACACACACATAGATGCACACAGGCACATACACAAAAACACAGACACATAAACACACAGTCATACGCATAGTCAAAAACACAAACATAATCACACATAGACGCACACACACACACTGTAGAAATAAGGGTAATACTCTGCACATAATTTACAGAAAATATTTACACATTTGGAAGCATCTTCAAAGTGTAAAAATTAAGATAATTAATCGTGATAAATTATATTAGCAAAGCAAAAGATAATTGATATTTTTTGTTGGTAAGGGCCATTAATATGTATCATTTTTAAGTCTAGGAGGACTGTCCATATTTTACATATTTTGAGTTTGAGTATTTTAATGAAATGGAGTTGAATGGGAATGTGTAACCATAAAATGTTTGTCTACTTTGAGTTAGAAAAAATATAATTTTGCTATTTAGGGAATTGACAAATGGTGTTCCAGTAAATTACTTTGAAGACCTGAGATGTCTATTTTTAAGCCTGTAGATATAACTGTTACTGTAAATTGGATCATCAGTTGGTGGTTATTTGAGTCTGTGTATTTGGATGTCTCTAACTGTAATTGATATGGGCTGAAATCTGTTAGATCTGGGACATAGTGAGAAACGAGGGCTCTGTTCTTTGCACTAAGCAAACACGGTCTTCAGTTGGCAGTCATGAGGCCAGGTTGGTTTCCTACGTGCTCTCATGAGTGTTTGATTGATGATGCTTGTTTTAGGGAACATGTAGGGCCCCCTTTGGGAAACAGGTGCTCCACAGGCACCAGGTTCATCTCTGTCTGTCCCTGACTTGCCCATTTGTGTTTTTGATTGTCATCCTTTACCCTGGTTGTGTTTCAGGAGGTGTTCTGGATGGATAGCTGCTGGAAGCCAATCGCCATAGCCAGCTCTTCAACACTTAAGCATTTACCTGGGCATTAAGTAATGAAAATTTTGGTAAGGAAAAAACAGAAAAAAATAGCATATTGCTTTTCTTATAAGGTCACCTTAATCTCAGATATATTCTATAATAAGATGCATGATTATTCTCTAAACATCTCTGGCTCTGACCGAAATCTGTTTTCCCAAGATTTGTCTTTATTTTATAGAAAAGTGATGTGGGTTTTTGTAAACAAGACTAACAGTCTGCCCATTCTCTCTGTGTCATCAGTAATGCATTATTTTTCTTAGTTCGGTCTCCTTGTTCTCTCAATGTCTGTGTACCACATAAATTATGCCTCTGAGGACAAGGGCTGGTGTTGTGCATCTTTTCTGCAGAGACTAAATAGGACACAGATTTCTAGTGGTTGAGAAATTGTCTGACATTGTTCTCTGCAACTATAAAAGCTTTGAAAACACTAAAGAGTCAGGTCAAAGAATCAAATCTGGATCTGTCTCAGACATAGAAGGTTCTAAATAACCAGGAAAAGCTGTTGTGTCATGGCTAATAGAACGCTAAAGGAAACACCTCTTGAGACAGATCTTGTCACTACTTAGTCCTGGGTAGCCTGGAATTCACCACATATAACAGGCTCAACTTCACAGAATTTCACTTGCCTCTGCCTTTCTAATGCCAGGATTGACGACATGGACATGCGCTATCTGGTACAAATACCTTTACTAGTTTTCACTTTTATCCAGTTTTTATTTATGTGATAGCAATGTATTTTAATTTCCATATGCTCACATGAAATTAACATACAATTGGTTGCTTGCTATTGTTTAACATTACTAATCTGTGCTGTATGTAATATGTGGTTTATTAAAAGGGAGGGAGGGTGAAGGGAAGTCAGTGATGACAGACGGAGCTGACTGGTCCTAAGGGTCTGTGTGTCAATTGCTAAGAATGTCAGTTTATCATTGTCCTCCAACTGGAGAAATATCTGCTTGGAGAGTTTTGTGCATTGAGACAGTTGGAGATCAGAATAAAACAAAACACAAGATTCACTGAAATTTCAGTGTTTCTATAAAGAATGTTGATAGTGAAATGACACCTTTACAATTATGGAACTAAATTACAACAGCATGCACTTCTACATGTTTTTAACTAGAGATATTTTACCATATTGTTTATGATTATGTTTTCCAGAAACCATATATGAGGAATACATCCATCTCGTGCTACTTGTGTTTCCTTCTGAACAGTCATTTTTTAACTGAGGCTGGCATTCATGTCTTCATTTTGGGGTAATTTCATCTTTAATTACAGCTGTTATATGTTATTGGCCATTATCATGTGTCCTTGGATTTCTTCCTGTTGATGCTGTACTATGTTAAGTTTACTTGTGTGTAGGATATGTAGGCGACTGTGGAGATGCTCAGGGACTTGACAAGCTAAACATTTCTGCACCTTGGTAGTATTCCATATGTGTATTCTATCACCCACAGCAACTGGGCTTCTTGATATAAGATATCCCATGCACTGGTACCACAAATGTACACTGCTCTCATTAGGCAGATTGCCATTGGCAAACGTGCATTGTCCATAACATTCTGAGAGTAACTGTTTTTCCTGAGGCTTTAAGAATCACTCCACAGCCACTTGATCGACGTGTCTTTAATTCTAGGTGTTTCATTTCCGTTTTAGCCAAAGTGAATAAATGTGTGGTCATCCATCTCTTATTTAGTTAAGTCTTCAGTGACTACGTGGGGGTCATGAAAGTGGCATTTAGCATACTGAAAAGGACATTTACTCTCACGGTTGTCACCTGATAAAGACCAGCCCTAAAAGTCTCATGGAAATTATACTTCAAGGAAACTAATATTTCAGGAACATTTATTGAGCATGAAACACATCAGGTCCTATCCCAGTTTCATTGTGATAAACTGCATGTGATTACTTACAACTTATCTAATCAGCTTTGTTCTTATCCTCAAGGGTGAACTGCCCTCCTCGAATTAGCTCAGAGTATCAGAGTTGTACCATATATTTGATGGTTCTACTCACCCACCGGGCTGTTGGTTGCACAGAGACAGAAGAGGCCTGGGCTTTTCCCCCAGTGAGAATATAATGAACTTGACTGTTACCTTGTTTATGTTCTCAGCCAGAAAAGACACCCTCTTCCAAAGTGCGTGTCTTTGTGTTTTCTTTCAGCTGTGTCAGCGTGGGCCTCCCTGAAACAGAAGCCAACTGGAAAGATGTGATAAGTGATCTAAAATACATTGAGTCTCTTATCCAAGTGAGTACCCGGCTTCCATTTCTCCTTTCTTTTTTGTCAAAGTTCATATTTGATATATTTGTTTGTATAGCCGTTCTTATTCTGAGAATGTCATACGTGAATATACTGAACATATGGTCATATCCACTTCCCTTTTCACCCCTGAGTCCCCCTGATCTGTCTCCCCACTGTGTCCACACCCAGCTTTGTATCTTTTTTTTTTCTTGCTCTTTGGAAGCCCACCGAGTCTAATTAGTGTTGCCAGTATGTACGTGGCTGTGTAGCCATCCAGAGGAACACAGGAAAGAAAGGATGGGCAAACCATCAGAAGAGGATAATTTTCCCTCCCCCAGAATCCCAGAAGCTATCAAGTTCCAACAGCTCCTTATAGGGTTAGAGCCTGGAGAGCACATGCCAGCTCTACTGTCGCTTTGGTAGACTAGATCCTGCGCAGGTAACAAAGTGCTTTGTGTCCAAACGGCACCCAGAAGACAGCATTTCGCGGCACCCCTCCCCACTGTCTGACTTGTAAATGTTTCTGCTTCCTTTTCATGGGTATTTCCTGAGCCTTGGTGGGATGAGGGTAGGTTTGACATCTCATTTAGCGCAGAGCAGCTGATCCCTTGGCAGCACTTTGACTAATTGTGCCTCAACACTGATTGCTTCCTACTAAAAATAAAATGAAGTTTCCATGACTAAGGCTGATAGGATATCAGGTCTGTGGACATACCCATAAATATGTCGAAGGTAATTCGACAGAACGGTCAGTAAGAAAATACTAGCAGCCAGTTCTACTCTAGGGTGTACGACTCCCAGCCAGGGGCTTTTGATCAGGATTATAGTTCCAGGCATGAAGTTTCTTAAAATCAATTATTCAAAACAGTCATGCCACTAACCACATCTTGCATGGCTGGTTCGTTATTGTGCTGTGTAGGAGCCAGTACTAGGTGAGATAATTGATGTCATTTTTTTACCCAGAAGAACATATGATGGCTATGAAATATGCACCTCTTATGTCTTTCTGCAAGCTCTCACAAAATATCTTTTGAAATAATGATGCTTGTGAAGAAAGATGTGAACTTTGCAAAGCCTCATAAGACATTGCTTTCAAGGTCTAATTTTTTGTTAAAACTTGCACTAGGCTCTAGTGGAGGACTTATTACTATTTCTGCTAACTGTATAGCCTGAATGTGACTTCTAATGACTTATCATTATACCAGTAGGTTAGTCCATCTCCCAGCCCTCATCAGAGAAGCTCCGTTTTTAGTAGATGGTGGTAACAGAGACTTACAACTGGTCAAGGTGAAGAAAGTGAGAGACTGCAGAATGCTCAGCCCTAAATGGGACAAGCCCCAAATGGGACATCTATATCACAACCCTCTTCCAAAGACTTGGTGATCTTTGTAGAAGAGGTATTAGAAAAAAGTGTAAGAGCCCGAGTCAGTAGATGACTAGAAGGAAACAGGGTCTTTTTCAACACAACAGGGAAGTTGTACATATGAACTTACAGTAGTTATAGCAACATACTCAAGATGTACACAAGCTGATGTCAAATAGAATCCCATCATGAACTGCAGAGGTTGACATTAAGTTCACTCATATCTGAGGACATGTTAGCAATTAACCATTGCTGGGAGAGGGAGAACAAGTTTTCTTTAAAGGTGTTGCCCCTGTGAGATCGTCTAGCTCAGGTGGAGGCCATATATCTAGGAAGAGTACATGGGCAACACTTCATGGACTTAAGAGAAAAGAAGATGACGCAAAGATGGGTGAGAAGGGAAGGGGTGTGGACATGGGGGGCTTATAAGAAGAATAAACATTAAAAAAAGTCTACAGAATTTTCAAGGAACTATTGAAGAATTAAAAAATAAATGCAGTATCTAAGCAATGTAGCCTAAGGGGCTCCATTCCTCACAAATCAGAAATGTGTTTTTCTTATCTGGAAAACAGATTCCATGAAGAGGATTCAATGTGAAATTAGCACTAGAATGAAATATCTTTTCTGGGCATTGTAGATCATCTCTCTTGCCTAGAGGTACCAAATGTCCTAGGAGAAGGTTCTACTGAATATAGTCAAGAAAACTCAGGAATACCATTCTAAATGACAATCCTAGAAGGTATGTTTGGTCCCTATGGACCAGTGTCTTCCATAATCTACAAAAGAGGCCAGAGAACATGGACCGAAGAGGTGATTCTCACTGAAGTGAGTAAGGATAATAATGGAAGGCCCACCACTGTCCTGGAAACTGAGCTGCTATTAGAATCACAACACACAACGCAAGTCAGACTGTAGCAAAACATCTCAACAGGTGATTCCCTGCATATTAAAAGAGAATACTTAAGTAAGACAAGATTCTTCTGACATAATAGCTATCATACCCAGATACAAGGAAAAATCATGAATCATACAAAAAGAAGGAAGTCGCAATCAAGACCATTATTAGCCTTATATTAGTATCAGGTAAAGTCAATATGATAGGAAATATAACTGCTAACTCCAAGAGCAACGTTAATGACAAAAGAAAATTCATGAAGAAAAAACACTGATTCATAATATATATGCACTAAGCAACAGAGCCTCAGAATTCATGACACACAAATTTCTCAGCCCAAAGGAGAAACAGACAAATTTATGACTACAGTTGTGAATTTCACTGTCTCAGGATCAATAACTAACTAAAGTATTAAGTAAAAATTCCAGAAAGATGGAAACCATGACAAAACCAACTAATGTGACTTGCTTTATGCATGAAGCATTCTGCCTAACAGTATCAGAACAAACTTTTAAAAATTGCCATAGAACTAAGATTAAATATACCCTGAGGCACAAAGTGAGGTTCATGAAACTAACCAAAATTTTGATTGTGCAGAAAGTATGTTAAGGACACAATAAAATCAAACTGGAGATGATAAAACAAAACAGGAAAGTTCCCCAAATTTACAAGTTAAATAATGTGTTTCTAAATAATTCATGGGTTAAAGACTAATTCTCAAATATATGAAAAACAACACATAGAACCTAATAAAACGAAATTTAATCCATTAAGATGTGAACTGTTAAGATGGGGAAACTTTAAAAACCAAATAAATGTATTAGAAAAGAGGAAAGGTGCTAAGATCAAACCAGCAAAATAAATTGCATCTCCCCAAGTTAGAAGAATCACAAAATAAATTCAGCACAAGTAGAGTGAGGAAAAGAGTAGATCTCAGTGCAGAAATCAAGAAGCTGAAACCTGGAAAGAGGTGGGCAAGTCTATGAAACACAAAAAAATTAATCCAATTAATAAGCATCTAATAATAAGAGAAAGGATATACAGCATTAGTACCATGGATGATTGATGGCTATCATTACAGAATTTGTGGGGATCAAATTCACCATCATTTCCCTTAGTATCTTGTAAGTACTGATTCTGCACCAATAACTTACAGGAAATGGGCAAATTCTCCAAATACCACAAACTCCCCAAAACATGAAATCAAAGGTTCAAGTATCAGTATAACCATCGACATCATTAAATTCACTATACAAAACCTCCTGGAAGAGCCATCAATAACAGCTGGATTTTCTTCAGCATCCTGAAAGCTATTACAAGGATTGAAAAGGATATACCTAGCCTCTTCCAGGGTATGGGAGGAATGAAGCTCCTAACACTCAGATTGGGAGACAAATCTTACTTTGATGTTGAAATATGAAACCAAAGACAAGAGACTCTCATGTACTTACTATAAAAATCCTGTTACCATATTACCAATCCAGATTTATCAGTGTATTTTATATAAACAGAATTACACATGAACATATGGGGTTTATTCTAAATATGCAAATATTTTCATTATTTGAAGATCAAAGAATCAATCAGTCCAGTCTGACATATCAGGAGAGTAAGGGGAAAATCACATCAATTGATTTAGAAAAGACATGATAAACACAGCACCTCTTATACAGAATGGATTATCCTTTCTTAATTACTGTACACACCTCTTAATATGATTGTGTTTTGATGCAGGATCTTTAAAGGGTCCATTTAAGTTAAAATATGGTCATTAGGATGATTTGAATCCAATATGGCCAATGCCCTTAGAAGGACAGAACACCATGCTACAGGTACCCACAGGAGGAAGATCCTCTGTGGAGACTGAGAGAAGACAAGATGGGTGTTAATGAGGCAGTCTTGGGAGACCATTGCTGGTATACCCTTCTGAGACTGATTGCCTCCAGAATCTGAGAAAATTGAATGTTTTTATTTAAGTCACCCAGCTCATCCTAAACGACAGCAGCTTCAGAGAACTACGGTAGGACTAGTTCAAGTCGAAATTTCCCAGCAGAGGAGGAACGGAGGGCAGCTTGTTCAACTTAATATAAAATGTGTACTAGAATACCTTAAACTACCTCTCTTGCTAGTGAGTGGAAAACAGCTTGATCCTGGGACTGAAAAAGGCAACTCTCACCACTTTTATTCACCGTGGTCTTCATTCTGGTGCCTCCATACAGTAGTGTATTAGTCAGGGACAAAAAGAAATAAGTGGCCAAGCCAAGGAAACAAACACCTAGAAAGCATTTCATACAGTGAAAGAACCACATCTGGAAAGGCTTCGTGCTGCGTGACTTCAACTGTTTGTCCTTGTGGGGAAGACAAAATTAGAGAGCAAATTCAAAAATGGATGCTTGGCAGGGATTAGGAGGGAGTGAGGGATGAACAGGCAGAGTATGGGTGCTCTATAACATGATGCAACTACAACACACACACGCACACACACACACACACACGCACGCACACACGCACGCACACACACACACACACACACACACTCACGCATGCATGCACGCGCGAAAATGAAGAGGCAATAGTCCTACAGTGCCCTTCAAAGTCACACCCCAGTGACCTGTTGGTCTTCTTCTAGACCCCTTTGCCAGAGCTTTCATCGTTTCCATCCTGGAACTGAGTTTGGGGGCATTAAACAGCCAAACTGTACCTATGTACAAATGTCCAGTCGTTGGGTATAACAAATGTACATAAAATATGCAGTATATTAACAATGGAATCATATAAAGGACAGAAAGAGAACTCACAACATTCTGCTGGGTTTTTTTTTCCTATAACACAACTGCTCAAAGTGTTATTTTTAAAAAGTCCAGTCTTAAAAGGTTGCATTCCATATGGTTCTATTTCTTTTACATTCTGGAAATAATAAAAGTGTAGGATTGGACAAGGGGATAAAACCAGTAAAATCTGGAGAAGGGAGAAAAGTTACATCAATATGGATTTCCCTGTTAGGGCTAAGTAAGGACCAGCAGGGTAACACAAAGAAGAGATCAGAGCAGATCACTATATGTATTCTTACAACTGCTGGAACTTAAAATCATTGCAAAATTCAAAATTAAAGGGCCTAAATTTATTGTTTACAGGAAGTTGTTATTAATAAATTTTCTATATTACCTTGTTTTCTCTTTTCAGTCTATTCATATTGATGCTACTTTATACACTGACAGTGACTTTCATGTGAGTATAGTTAATTGTTTTAATTGCTATTTTCCAGTTTTCAGCCATATTCCCATAACTTCACTGAAGTAGTTCGGTTTTAAAATCTAACTTACCATGGGTTCTCTAGTGCTTGACCCCTGACATTTCTAAGGAATCATTGGATTTGCAGGACTTAGGAAAAACAGATACATAAATGCTTTTTTTGCAATGGTGCCAAATCAAAATGGAAAACAAATATGTTTCCATCAGTGTCAAACAAAATCTATCATCTGCTTCTGTGATGCAGTTAGATCATCATAGAATTAGAAGCTAAAATCACATTAAATGTCTCCACCATACCCATTATTCCTAGTGCTGTAGCATGTCACCGTCTTCAATAATGACTTCTGAAACTTGCTTGAGGGCACCCATGTTTTGTATTTTGCATGAATTTCTGCACTTGTAAGAAGTCCTTTCACTAGTCTCCGGGTGATAAGAAACATAATCCAAACAATGTACTAGAATTTCTAACTGACACACTAGCTTTATTATAATGAAGGTTGAAGGCATTTGGCAATGTGGTTACTTCCTTCACTCTAGATTGCTGCTAATGTTGACAGATAGCTCCCTAATACTACTGCTTGGAAAATGGGGACGTTAATTGAGTTTAAATTGTTAGTAGTGTCACCATTTAAAGTACCTCAATGAGTTTTGCCCCGAGGCTATGTCTGCAGGGTACTTTTCTTAATCTGGGTGACTATGGGGGAAAGAATCACTCCAAATGGAGGCGGCACCGCTTCACAGGCTGAAGCCAGGACTGAGAGTGGGAAAGGGCAGAAGGGCGTTCCACAGTGTCCCGCCGCTCGGAACTGTGGGTCTGAGCAGTTTTCTTAAGTCCCTCAAGCCTTGCCTTCCCTGCCGTGATGGACTGGAACTTGGAATTGCGAGCACAGAAGGCATCCTTTCTCCCTGAAATTGCTCTTTGTCAGGGTACTTTATCACAGTGACAATGACAGAAACGAAACTAGAACCAAAACCAAACCACCTTCTGTGTACTCAAAACTGTCAAGTGCAACTTCTCGGAAGTGGCAGGTTTGTGTGTCCCGCTCTTAGTGTTCTGAGTAGACGCTGGAGTCGGAAACTCAGACAACTAGATGTTCACCAAACACAGGGGTTAGCTCTAGATAACCCCTCCTCTCATTTTAGTGTAGTTTCTGTTTTTCCCTGCTTTTTTAATTTTTATTTATTTATTTATTTTACCTAATCAGAAAGCACTCCATTAACTGAGTATAGTTTAGATTCAGGCAGGTCCTAACTAATTTAAGCCACTGTTGAATCCAATTAAGTGTTTTCTTTTGTTCTAATTTTCTATCTATTTATTTGCTTTCGATGTTTAGTAACTGTTGTAAGAAGTATGTTTTCCTGTTGCTCACCACCCCTCTCTGGTTTGGCCGGTCCATGAGTGGGTACTGTCTCTGCCTTGATTTTTACCTTGGACTTCTTGGGATTCTTTCTGCTTGGAACTGTAGGGGACAGTATGACTGGCAGTTGTCACTCCTTCAAATGTGAACGCACAGTCTGACCCTAAATGGTTTTATAAATGCCCTGTCACTTCCAGACTGCTGCGTCACCCATAGAATAGAAGAGGCACGCTCAGCGAGGGACAGTGGCCTTTGATGCCCATTTCCTTGTGCACAACAGTGCCACCCTTCTTCATTGTTGTTGGTTTTAGTTTTGATTTCAAAACCAAATTGGGGGGGATGGGGAAGCCACTCCCTTTATGATTAAAATCCCTTAGGAGCGCACAGACAGAAAACTATTTGGGGAAGCAAATCTTTAGCTTACAGTTCCAAGCTAGAGCCCATAACTATGGGAAGCCAGGTCAGGAAACTTAAAGCATCCAGTTGCCATACAAGAACAGAGAACTGCAGGAATTCTTGTTTGCTTCCTGTCTGCTAGTTCCCTTCAGTGTTATACCACTCAGGGTCTCCTGCCTAGGGAACGGTGCCACCACAGTCATTTGGGTCTTCCTCCATGAATTAGCAATAAAGACAGGCCTTTAGGGACATGCCTACGGGTTATCCTGAGAGAAAATTCCTCATTAAGACTGTCTTCTAAGTTGTGTCAAGTTTACGGCTAAAACCAAGTAGTGTTGATATTACGTGTCTTTATAAGATAACTAGATGAGATTGATTGAATTTTTTAAATCAAAGTCTTATCAACGTGAAAATGAAGAATGAGGAGGTTTGTTTTCATTTGTTTGTTTTAAACGGACTCTTTGCAACTCTTATTTTTAGCCCAGTTGCAAAGTTACTGCGATGAATTGCTTTCTGCTGGAATTACGGGTCATTTTGCACGAGTACAGTAACGAGCGTCTTAATGAAACAGTAAGAAACGTGATCTTCCTAGCAAACAGCAGTCTGTCTTCTAACAAGGTGAGTGATCAAATAGCTGTAGTGAGCTGCATCTGATGTTTTTGGCTTGCTTGGGGTAGGGCATTCATTCATTAGCAGATTCTCCTATGGAGACTACAGGAAAGAATTTCATTCCATTGGAGTGACAGTCAAAAGTGGTACCAGAGCTGGTATGCACAGAATCCTAAGCTCACTGATTCCCTTGGCTAACAAGCATTTCTGAATAGTGTTATCCAGTGTGCTTTAGCACGAGAAGAGTATTGGACAGGCTAGTGCATAGGTGCCCTGGATAGACATTAATGTAATTAAGTGTTTAACATCAGAAATGGTAACTCACATTTATTGGGTTAGTCATTACCGGCTGTCACACATTGTTCTTTATATGTTAGATTGATAAGGCACTAAGTCCTCAAAATCCAAGACTAATCTCTTCTTTTTTCATCTCTAGCTGTCCTTATTTCCGTGTGAAATGTTGATGTGCTCAGAAAACAGCCAGAGCTAACCACATGTCCCAACTCGGGCAGCTAATGGCATGAGAGCAGTAGTTCTACTCTAGCTTCTGTCTTCTCATCTTCCAAAAATTTAAGCAATGGAAATTATGATATTGAAAACTGGCACAGAGTCAAGTATTATTTGGAACATCCCAGACAGCAGGAGCAGGAGAGGGTTCTGGGAAAGCATGTACTTGTGACTCCTGTGGTTGACCGAGGGATGAGCTGCATGAACAGCCTCAAGTGCACGGAATGAATTGTGCCTCAAACAGCACAACCATGGGGGTGAAACAACACAGAAACAAAGGAGCTTTGTCATCAGAGGAGGCACAGTAAACATTGCATTTAATGAGTTCTTCAGCATGCTGTGTTAAAGCCCCTGTAGTCCCTGTTATAAAGGAAGAGGGAAGTGAATTAGCCAATCAGTGAATGAGTGAGCCGCCAGTTTGTCATTAAGCATAGCAGCACCAGAGGGAGCGTGTGTGTACTGGGGAAACTAGGGTCCTGGTGTAGGGAAGGGTTAGCCATTAAGCTGGGATGCAACACAGAGGTCAGGGAATGCATGTCTGGGACACTCAGTGTCTTTAGGCAGATACAACTGGGATTGCAATGGCCTTCAGGTGCTTTGGCTTCTCCCAAATGATGGGCTGCCTTTTGTGGCTGCTCAGATGTCACCTTCTCACTCATGTTAACTATGTACATTCTCCATGCTTTCCCCATTCTCTGTCCCTTTCTCTACATGTCTCACACTCTGAAAATCATGGACTAGATTCAGTAGCAGTAATTGTCTATTTGTCACCATTAAAGAGTCAGCATCAGAACATGTACATTCTAGGGTCTTTTTTTTTTTTTTTTGGCTATTTTTTTAATGTTTTATTACGATTCCCAGAACATACACTTCTCACGGGTATTCATCACTAGGGATACTTATCAAGTGAATCTATTCATGGTTAAATTACTTCTGTGCTATGTTATTGCCATTTACTAATGGTAAGAAAGTCAACAAATAACTCGTGACAGTATCAGTCCAGAGCTTTAGGCTGCTGGTTGGTGCCACTCCAACGTGATAATTTGGCATAAGCACTAGAAAAGTCAACAGGACTGCGTGGTTGGGAGACCCACGTAGAATTTCAGTTTACTGTGTCAGTGGGGATGAGTCACATAGGAGCTTTGCTTTCCTCTGTGACGTATTCTCAGGACCAAGTAGAGAGCAGTGTAAGCATTATGACAGTGTCTGGCACACAGTGTGTATCTGATGAATACTGGGAAATATGAATTCCAAGCACCTAATGGATGTGAAACCTAATTTTGGTTTTCCTGGCACAGTCTTCATAATTCAGAAGGTCTCGAAAAGATAATGTTTATGCATTCTCTTGTAATATTCTAGTTGTCACTCAAGCTATGTCTGTGGCATTTGCCTAAGTGGTTCAGATCAACCAATAACATTCAGGTAGCTCATGTGTGCCAGGCCTTGTGCTTAAAGCTGGAAACAAAAGTATATGGTTATGATTCCCAGGAATGGTTAGACAACAATAGTGTAAAAATGTTAAAAGTCTATGGTGTGTGTGTGTGTGTGTGTGTGTGTGTGTGTGTGTGTATGGCAAGTACTCTCTTGGTGTCTCAAGGGCATGGCATTCCAGGCCATGGAAAATGAAATAGATAAAAGATATGTCACAGAGGCCACGGACCATTAGAGAAGTATGGGCTTCAAGAAAGAAACGAAGAATACTTTGATAGGCATTAAGCTGGACGAATGCAGTCTAACGTGCCTGATCTGTGCGTTTGCAAAGATCTTAACACAATGTAGGCAAAACCAATCCCTATTGACTCTTTGATTCTTTCTTATAGTTTTTCTTAAGATGATATTAATTTGCCAATGTTGTCATGTGTGAAGCCCCCAGCCTCTGTTTCAAATATTTTAATAACCCCAACAAAGATATACATTCTGCGTGCCCATCTAATTCTTCCTTCTTGGTTGCAGAATATAACAGAACATGGCTGCAAGGAGTGTGAGGAACTGGAGGAGAAAGACATCTCGGAATTTTTGCAGAGCTTTATACGTATCGTACAAATGTTCATCAACACGTCTTGACTGCAGTGGGTCCTCGTCAGGGTTTCGGTTATGACCGCACCTCTGCCTGCTGTGCAGGGGCCAGTGCAGGTCTGTGTGTTGGAGATCTGCTGGGAAAACAACGCTGTCTAAGCAGAAGCCGAGGAGCCACTTGGATCAGATGAACTCTCCGAGATGACGGGATAAAAGGAGCTCTTCTCAGACTGGTTTTTAATTTATTACTGCACTTGTACATATTTGTAATATAACAGAAGATGTGGAATAAAGTTGTTCATATGTTTTATCAATTGAGCTTTAACTCCTACTTTATCCTGTTTCATTAGCTTGTGTTTGGTGGCATGTGATGTGTGTGTGTATACGTTTGCCTGTGTGTGTAGTGTGGCACACGCATGTGTAAGTGTGTGGGGGTTAGAGGCTGGCCTCCAGTGGGTGCCTTCCTCATTATTTTCTACCATGTTTGTTTTGTGTTTAAGGCTTTGTCTTTTCTTTGACCGGGAACTCAGTAGCTCAGTCAGACTAACTGGCCGGTGAACCCAGAGATCTCTAATATTTACCCTCACAAAAGTGGGGTTACAGGCACTTGCCACATGCCCAACATTTTACATAGGTGTTGATGATGTGAACCCAAATCATCATGCTTGTGTGACAAGCAGTTTCCCAGCTGAGGCATCTCCCTACACTTTAATTCATCTGTTATAGAAAATTGAGGGGTATTTGCTTGTTTGAGGGTGATTGTCCTTCAAGGAAAGTACAAAGGTACACAGAAAACTGATGTTTTCATTAGTGTTTCACGTTTTCCCAAACAGAACTATTTTATTCTCACAAGTTTTAAAGCTAAACTTGTTGAATTTTTAAAAGGGCTGATTTTTGGGCTCCATTTGGCTTGACAAAAAATGCAACTGATCATGGGTGTTGGGGAGATGACTCAGGAGTAAGAATATTTCCTGAAAAAGCATGGAGACGGGAGTTTGCATCCCCAGCAGCCTTGGGAAGTTGGTCATGACCATGCCTTCCCTGAGCTATGTGGAGGATCAGCATTCCTGGAGCTTGCTGGACACCAGCTTAGCTCCAGGTTCAGTGTAGTAGCCCCTTAAGAGATTCTAAAGCCCCAGTGCCTCTACTACCTGTGGTGAGTGTTAGGTTTGGGAGCTGACCCTCTCCCTTACCAACTGTAGCACTTGGGAAAGTGGACCCTGCATCTGGCCTGGGAAGCACAGTAGAGGGGACCCTAGGGCAGAGGTACGGATGAACTGGCCCTGAGAATGTGTGAGAGATCTGGCTCAGCCCCTTATCCGCCGCGTGGCAGTGTGGACAGGGACTACCCCCTACCCCTCACTGCCTGTGATGGGTGGGAGAGCAGGCTCTGAGGTGCTAAGAGTGTTTCAGAGAACTGCCCCTGACCCTCACCAGCTGCAGCACTTGGGAGCCTGGCCTCTGTACCTTGCCTGGGCAACACAATAGAGCCCTGATAGCCCAGCTGTGGGAGAGCCAGCTCTAAGGGTCTGAAAGCAGAACTGGCCCCGCCCCTTGCTCATTGCAGCAAGGGGTGAACTAGAGGAGGCAATGCTGGAGAGCCCACCCTGGTGATGAGCAAAGTGGAAATCTGGCGGGCTGGCCAACCCTGCAACTACCCAGTCCCAGAACCAGGGTTATGGGTTGGCCCATCCCAACATCCATCCCATCAATGACCTGCTGAAGCACGTGAAGGAGCTGGTGCTGTAGACCCAAAGTTGCAGAATCTCCAAAACACGGGACAATGGGATAGCCAAGAGGAGTCCCAGTGAGGCTTGAGCTGCAATAGTGTAGCAGAAACCAGAGGCCTCGACCAGACCAATGACTCTGTGCAATGAACACTTACTTGCACCTAAAAATATGTGGACAAAATAGTTTACTATGTGATTCACTGTGTCATAGTACGACTACCATGACTAGATTTTTGCCATTTTCCTTTTTTCTCTTAAATTTTATTTTATTTTGGGTATGTTACAATGGCAGAGGGAGTATACAAAAGCACAGGAGTAAATGGAATCATGATTTGTGCTCTGAAAGACACAAAGAATAAATAAAACGTAAGTTTAAAAATGAAAACAGCACTTGGGAGGCAGAGGCAGGTTGATTTCTATGAGTTCAAGGCCAGTCTGGTCTGCAGAGTGTGTGCCAGGATAGGCTCAAAAGCTACATGCAGAGAAATCCTGTCTTGAAAAACCAAAAAAAAAAAAAGAAAAGAAAAGAAAAGAAAGAGAGAATGTGGAGGGGAGTGATAGAGCAGAGTATCCACACACATGTATACCAACATGCATTCAATACTCACATGCAACTTAAAAAAGAACAGTTAATAGATTTGTATAATTGTTACCTATATTTTCATTATACTGTCTAAAAGTCATTAAGCTTCCTAGCATTTCTATTGCTTACAAGTAGGAAAAATGTATCATTTTAAGCATTAATTTTCCAGTCTAATTGTTAAAGAGAAGTTGGCCCTCCTTCACTATTTATTTGTCTGTGGAGAGGGAGATCAAAATGCCAGTCATATTACTGATGGTATTTTGCAGTGACTAACAACACACTTGCACTATATAAACAAATGCAGAAGGGCTTTAAAGTTTGGAATGCTCCAGTGCTCTAGAGTCCCTGCCTCTGAAATGTCAAAGGACACAGCTGGTTTTGGAAAACCCAAGTCTATACTTCTTACCATCCTTTACAATGGCACAGAGATGAAGTGCGTATAAGCATCCATCATTCTGATAACATGAGAGACCAAGTGAGCATTCACCACCCATTACACTTCCCTTCTCATGTTCTTGCTCATGAAGCCATCCTTTACCTAAGTCTCAAAGTCCACACCGCCTACACTCTCCCAGCTCTGTTACCTTTCCTGGAGGATACCGTGTTTACATCTCACCTACTGCCCTAATTGCTGAAATATTTGCCATATATTACCTACAGTGAAAGAAGCACACAATCATATACCTAATAGCAAATGAACAAGGTAAGCCAAATAAAAAATGAGATTGATAGATCGAAATCCCATTGGCAGATACGTTCTTGCTTTTTTTAGTATTATTTCAAGCAAATAAAAGATATATGAGGGGGCATTATCTGCAAATTCTCTCTGGAAATAAAGTAAAAGAACTATGAGGTGAGGACATGGGAACGCAAGCAGAACTAATAAGTAATTTGTGAGCCAAGAGAATTTTATAACCCAATTACAAGTCTAGTTTTATATAATCCCATTCTTTATCCGGGATGAACGAATCAATACAATTACTTGTTGTTTTGCTGTTGTTGCTGTAGTTGTAAAGAGGGAATTACATGTTTTGATGTTGTAGTTTATGGCCATCAAATTCAATAACTTGTAAAATCAAACCAACATACGCAAAATGAAAATGAAGTAATGCAATTGTTCCCTCCTTTCTGTCCCCAAGCAAAAAGAAATCCTAGAGAGTGTATTCCTCTTCCTTCTCTTCTGTGACTTCCCATAATGAATGGAGCTGTCTGCACTCATAGGCAAATCACCCTCAACATATGCCTGCAATGGATAAATATTTTGCCCAGAGGAAATTCTATTTCCAAGGAGATTTGGTTGAATATTCCTAAATGTGACTAGTGACTGAATTGTGTTCTCCCTAGGGAATATGCTATTTAAGGTGTTTAGCTGTATGAAGAGTCCCTTGGTCCTAATTGTGTGCTCTACCTGACAAAACAGAAGAAAAACGAATGAATGAGAGACATGCTTTTGCCCTATAATTTATTTCTTCAACCCTAGATTTTGAAGCAGGAATTAAAGGAACTGAGGAAATGGTTGTATCATAGAAACAGATTTGAAAACTGCTATATTTAGCCTTTGGGAATAATGTCAGATTTTTTTTTTGGACTATTGTCGTGGAATGCAGCATCCCTACCCAAATCATTTACCTTCATTGTCAGGATCACGTGTTTTCATTAAGAACTCACCATGTCAGTGATATGGGAAGCTTAGCTATTGCAGATCTACTTTGTGTGAACCTTGAGACAGAGGCTGTAAGAAAGACACAGTGTTAGCCTTCAGGGGCTTCACAATCAGCAGAAGCATCTCATTATCAAACCCATCATCTGGGGTCTTATTTGGTCTCCATCAAGTCTATGAAGGGCATCAGGGGGGATCAGTTTCATTGAAGGTGTTCGCTCAGAGAGAGCCTCATGGAGAAAGGTGACTGGTGAGCTGAGATGTCAGTGAATAGGGGTTGGATTAGAGAAGTTGAAAGAGTGACAGACAACACCTCAGTCAGAGGACAGGTATGTTCTTAGGGCAAAAGAAAATACAGAGTGACCAGGATGGGGAAGGATGGACAGTGTGGCAATGGAAGAGTTAACTGGCTCTGTTCTAGAGGAAGAAGAGTCATGTGATAACATAAAACAATTAGATGTATTATTCTCATTTTGGAAAATGGACTTAAAGTTACTTCCTCTTTGCCAATAATTATCAGATCCATAAAATTCATAGCTGTCCAAGAGTGCCACCTCTATCATTTGATGATTCCTTGAAACAGAGTGGACAACAATATCAGCAAGTAATCACTCAGTGTGACAGCCCTGTGCCCGCATGTGGGTCTTGCAAGCCACAGGGACATCTATCTGTACAATGGAGCACTGGACTCTACAGAGGCCTGTGGAAAAATCTTGGGACACAGAAGGATTTCTGAAAGCAAGGTTTTCTAAATTACATTTCACTGAAAACTATTTGGGATAAGGGAAGCTAATTATTCTCATCAAGATAAACCAAGCAGAGAAAGGTCCCATGGAGTGGCAGCCAGGAACAGTTGAAATGAGAAGCAGAAAGAGGTGAGCTGTGCCTGGGTAGAGAGAGAGTGTGTGTCTGAAGTAGAATTAGCTTTGAGGAGGTGACAGCAAGGCTTAGTAGAAATAAAAAGTGATGAGCTTAAGGGGAGGCCAGGGAAGAAAAAAAATCTCTCAATATGTGATAATAAAGAGCCTACAGAAGAAATTAGGATGCCAGAGCAGCAATGGTTCTATACAGCAGGCACCATCCTTTTCAGAGACTTAAAGATTATTGGTCTTCGGCCAAGTTCATTTCCGGAGATGAATTAACACAGTCAAGCTCCCAGTGTGCCTCTCAGCCCTCCTCTCGGGAGGCACCAGGCAGACGGCAATAATAGCTTTTTCATACGTGTATGATTCTTTAAAGTTCACAGAGCACTTTCATCTATGTTATTTTATTTGGTGAGAGTGTTAGCCTCTCTTGGGCACTGGTTTAAAGAAAAACAGCCTTGGAAATATTTGACTTCTG